TTTTTCACATTACAGTAGAGCGTCGTTTATCCGAAAGCCGGTTATCCGAAAGCATTCCAGTTGGCAAATTTAAATTTTCGCTAGTGCTGTGGCGCTGCAATCTTTGGCTACTCCAATATTCTTTTGGTTGGTGTGTGTGTTTTAGCTGGCAGCACTGGCACTATTGTGTGATGTTTTTCTGAGGACTGTGTGTCGTGTTGAATCGAACGTTATTGATAGTAGATCAACTTCTAAAGTATACTTTTTTTTTGGTTTTTATATTTTTCTATATATTTATTTTATTTGTACAAAATAAAAAATAATTTTTAACGATACAATAAGCACGATAATTATTTTAGAAAGTTTTCGTTAGGCTTAACATCAACGAAAATTCAACGCGAAGTGATATGCAACGGAGAAAAATTTCAACACGTGATAGGTTAATATATTTTTTCGTACATAATCGGTTATCCGAAAAATAAGTTATTCGAACAACCCCATTCCCCAATTGCTTCGGATAAACGACGCTCTACTGTGATTAGTTTTGATTTATTTATTGTTTTATATTTTTTGTGTGCTCTATTTTTTGTCGGAGAGAGAAGGGACCCGGTAAAAAGAAACAGTCTAGGGCCCCAAACTGGGTTAATCCAGTCCTGCATCGAGATATATCTCATGTATTGGTGTTTCGGTATGATATGGTGTATTAGAAAAAAATCCATGTGGCCTTTTCCTCACAGCAGTGAAATTAATCTTTCACAATAATCCTAATTTTACAAAGAACAAAAATATGAGTGTTATCAGATATAAGAATTGTTTTGTGAAAGAATCTCTGCCAGTGTAGAATAGAAAGTAATGTAGTGTTCTCTATAGAGTATAAAGTTAAAAAGTCAAAAATAAATGTTATATGACCTTGGGTGATTGTGTTTACGTGGAATTTATGCAAAACATGTTCGCAAAGTATTTAGAAGCTTTACACTCATTGATAAAAGTCTCCCATCTAAATATATAAAACTAGCTGTTACCAGCGGCTTTCCCTGCGCGGATTTTGCAAGCAAACCCCATTTATATTCGGTATTTCAACCACCATAGTAATTGTTATATAACACCTACCGCTGAGAATGATGAAAATTGCCGAGAATCAAATGAACTATTTTCAATTTGATCAATTTTCTGGAACGTTTACAATCGTTCTATAATCGAACCAATATGCAATAACAAATTCGAATTTAAAAAGGTTCGAACATTTGGTTAAAAACTCGAAATATATAAAAACATTTATAACAATGTCTGAAATGTTATCAATTTAATACACCTAAGACAAAACGTAACAAAAAATCGCATCTAAAATAGTATAGTAGAAGCCGTTCTTCTGGATAAACTTTAATGCTCTCCCTCTCCCCCCCGCAGGGGGTATTTCGAAAAATCCCTTCTTAGTGTGCATTGCCATGGCGTCCCCTACTAAACCGCAGATAAAAACAAAAAATCGCATCTAAAATAGTACAGTGGAAGCTGTTCTTCCGGTTAAGCCTTAATCATCTCACTCTCCCCCTGGGGGGAATTTTGAAAAATCCCTTCTTAGTGTGCGTTTCCATGACGTACCCTAACTGTGTACCAAATTTCACCTCTTTAGGTTCAACGGTTTGCTCTGAACGATGATGAATCAGTCAATCAGTGACTCAGTCAGTCAGGACAAGTAATCTAAATATATAAAATTACTTGTCCTGACTGACTGACTGACTCATCATCTCCCGAGCGAACCGCTGAACCTAAAGAGGTGAAATTTGGTACACAGTTAGGGTACGTCATAAAAACATGCACTAAGAAGGGATTTTTCGAAATTCCTTAGCGGGGGGAAAGGGAGAGCATTAAGGCTTAACTGGAAGAACGCATTCTACTGTACTATTTTACATGCGAGTTTTTGTTACGTTTTTCTTCATTAAGTACTTAAGAGTATTAATTTAATAACTATTCAGACATTGTTATAAATATTTTTATATATTTCGATTTTTAAACCAAATGTTCGAACCTTTTTAAATTCGAATTTGTTATTGCATATTGGTTCGATTATAGAACGATTGTAAACGTTCCAGAAAATTGATCAAATTGAAAATAGTTCATTTGATTCTCGGCAATTTTCATCATTCTCAGCGGTAGGTGTTATATAACAATTACTATGATTGTTGAAATACTGAATATAAATGAGGTTTGCTTACAAAACCTCCGCGGGCGAAGTCGCGGGTAACAGCTAGTCATTTTATATTGATGCCGATAAAATAGTGTTTCTAAAGAATTCAAAACAATGCAGCAGCCTGCCTAGATTGAAAATCTACAGCAATATTTTTCACATTCAAAACTCATATAAATTACTGAAATTTCTGAATACTTAAAAACTTAAATTTCAATTTTCGATAATCTGGGAACCTGCGACCTCCTGTCCTGTAGTTATCAAATTACAGAAAACTTCTTAGAAATGTAGACTAGTTTATGCAAACTTAACATATTCTATAATTTCTATAATAATTATACTGAAATTTATATTACTAGTGATCGAATTAATAGTATTTTGTATAAAACTGATTTTATTATTTATTACAGAATATATACGGAATTCCATATTTATTTTCAAATCCGTTTTTAATCATCACTGCGATAGCGTTATTATGGCAATATTGCGGATGGACGATTTTAGTAGGATTCTTGGCCATATTTATGTACATTTCTATACAATTTCTTTTGAGTAAACTATATTCAAAATTCAGGTAATTATTATTTTGACTTTTGACTTATATAATTGTGATAAACCTATAAATAAGATTAAAAAGAATAATGCATAAGTTAGTTATTATTAATTAAGATGAAATACAGTTACTGTATTTAATAACTATAATTTAGTCGAAATCTAGACTTATAGCTGATGTTAGAGATGATGTAATGACCAAGAGAATTAATCTTTTTGCTCGAGTATTGTTTGCATGACATTTATGCTATTGCTACTAATGCATTTGTTTGTAATAGTGTTTGTTTATTTTCTGTTATAAAGCTTATAATTTGATCACACAACATCATATAATTTTTCGAATGTTTTGTGAACCGTGCACAATTTTTTGGATTGCTTCATTTAATGTATAGAAAATTCAACTATTCTTGTCTTAAAAATTAGCAAAACATTTCATGTCTTTTGTGAAATTTCGACTAATCTTTATTTTTAATTTAAGTAATCGAATTTTTATAACTGTTTTATAACTGCCGCATGAAAAAATTAAAAATAAAATGAAACTTTCAGATCTAATACAATTACTTCTTAAGTTTAAAATAATACTTCTGCATACAAAATAAATATATTGACACATGATCCGTTTGTAAATAGGGGCTTTTCTTTATATATTCTTAAAACAATTAGATGTTTATTAATATTAACATTACGGAATGGGGCTGCTCTATTCACTGTTTTTTGTGAAAATTTTTCATATTTTTTACTATGAACTTTGTAGATTACACCTCCTGTTTATATTTGAAACAATTGGAGAAATTTATGGTTATTTGTAGCAAAGTGGAAGTTGATGCAGTATATTTATCTATTGCTTTTTCGAAGCAAATTACTGTAATGAAAATATAAAGAATGCACAATTAAAGCATTAATAGAAATAATTAATTAAAATGCCAGGGCAGTAATTAATACATTACAAAAACGCAAATATAATAAAAATAGCACAACAGTGTCTTATTTATTTCGAAACGTCCTTTACACACTACGGGATCATCCAGTTTTTTTTTTCCTTCAGTATTTGAGGTTTTGAAGTAGGCCTAGATAAAGAATGCATTTTTTTATTTCCAGGTATTTTAGATCGTACTGTTTTAAACACGATGCAGTATTGTGCGGCACCAATAATGTTCGTTGAAAGGATTCCAACAACAAACTCTATTTTGTTTTTAATTTTTCATGCGATATACAGTGAGTTGTAAAAGTTTGCATAAAAAGTGAAAATGTTAAGAATTACAACATTATCAGAAAATAAATTTATTAAATGACTAGCTGCAAGGACCCGCTTCGCTGGGTTTTTAGTTGTGGGCAAAAAGTAACGATAGTGAAGATTAAGAATGCATACTGTATAATTTTCTTTGAATAAACGTTATATATAAAATATTTGAGTATTTTCTCGGCCTGGGTCGCATTATCATATTTTACATCAATTCATATGGGAAAAATTATTTACTTAACGAGTGTTTCGAATTACGAGTAAGATTCTGAAATGAATTATGCACGTTAAGTGCGGTTTAACTGTAAATTCTTTCACTCACATGAATAAACATAAAAGTGAAACTCTACTCTTATCAGCACGAAGCAAATGCTTTTGAATAAAGATTTTGTTTTAGTAATAAGTATTCTGTATGAATAAAAGTGAGCATTTATTTGAAGTATGAAGCATATTTTTCAGAATACACGCATCTAGACAAACGTAGACTCAAGTGCAAGAAGTGTTGTTTGCTGTTACTTTTGTCTAGGTTTATTTCCTGTTAATGTTTAACTTTGGCTCAAGTAGTTAATCTAAGGAAGTTTTAATAGTTTAAGCTTTGTTCTCTCCAGAAGACAGGAATTTTAAGGTGTTATTTAGGTTTCAATAAAATAGTGTTCAATGATTGGCACATAATTTTTCAGGAGTGACGACATAGTTACGAGGAGGTGCTCTAACTTATTTACAAAAAAAGAAAATAAAAATTTGTATAGATATGTTACTGACCTTGGAATCCAAAACGGCATAGGAGAACTTTCTGTCTTTATATTATTAATTTTTATCATTAATTTTGTTCGATAAATTTTTTTCCAAGTATTTTTTTCTCATTTGAATAAAATTATTTGTGGCTTCATTTTTTTTAATGTTAGGAGTTCAAATTCAGATAGTTTAACAACTTTACTAAATGTCCACAAAATATTTAATATTGTTAGTAACTGGAATAAAAGAAAATAGTAACTACATAAACTGAATTAATGTTTATAAAGTAATTTTATATAGACATATATTTCTAAAAGTATATTTTTATATTGAAACACAATTTCATAATAATAGATTACAAGCAGCTGTATTGGGAGATAAAAGATTAAACCTGTTGAATGAGATGCTTGCTGATATGAGATTAATTAAAATGTACACCTGGGAATTGCCATATGCCGCATTAGTTGAGAAAATCAGAAAGTAAGTGATATTAAATACAGTAAAACCTGTATAAAAAATTTCTTAGAAAAAATTCTTTCTTCAAGTTAAATAGAGTATTCAAAATGGAAACTCACCTGATTAATAGAAAATGATTTGGTGTAATTCTGGTTTACACAGATTTTACTGTATTTCTGCCATTCCTGTTTTTTTCAAAATTACTTTCATAGTCTTATAATTTGTTATAGTGAACTGTTTATATTTGCAGGAAAGAAATGAAAAAAGTTCGAATGTTTTTATATGCAAGAGGATTAGCGCCTCTATTAGGATATCCTACATGTAGATTATTTACTTCCCTCACATATCTTGTCTTTTTCTTAAATGGAGGACAACTGAATGCCCAAATTATATATATCACTATGGCTGTTTCTGCACATATTTTCTGTAGCACTACCATTTTATTTTCACGTGCAGCAGATTTTGCTGCAGAAGTTTTGGTTTCGTTGAAGAGACTTCAGGTAATGAACCGTTTAACAAATTGTTGTTTTCAGAGTTTAAGTTATATCTACAATTTTACTTTAAAAATTATTCGAAAATATTAATGTTTTATTTAAAAATACAGTATATAAATTACATTTAATAATTATTTACAAATTTTATTAATCTAATCTTTTTATTTCTGGGCCATAGCCGCTAAGATTGATATTCTTTTTGTTATATCACACCATGAGTTTTGCAGGCCCACAATGGGGGGAGTAGCTGGTTACAGATGAAACTGGACATGTTAGTGACGGAGATTCCCTTGTAATCATTTTGGAGTTTCCAAACTGAGCTGTCTGAAATTTTCGGGTTTTACAAAGCAGTGGAGAAACCTTGGACTAATCTAGCAATTATTTCGTCTTGGGCAAAATAGTTATTTACCGTCTCATTAAATTATATTGTAATTTTACTCGAAATATTGTAATTTTATTCGAAAAATTGTAATTTTATTCGGAAAATGTTAGGGCTCGAACCTGGAAAATTTAATTACTTAATTATTTTCAAGAGATTCAAAAATCGACTATCTGAAAATAATGTTTTATAATTTTGATATTCCTCAGACCATTTTGCTGCCTATAGCAATCTGCCTCCCTTGGCAGTTGTCTCTCTTGCTGAACTCGATATTGGCCTCAGAGAGTGGCACTTTAATTCAGTAAACCATCAGGAGCAGGGTAGAGAATTTTGTTAATAACGCTAACAATAAGTATTACACCGTCACCAATTTATGTAAAATTTGGAACAAAATTTATAATGGTGTTATCTTAACTGTCAGGACTAAAATCGTCTGGAAGCATGATTCTTGCCTTTTGGTCTTTTTAATTTAAATTTTGTTTGAAACTAGTTGATGCCTCAAAAGTCGGTTTTAAAAATGACCAGTTGTTTTGGGAAGATGATGAGCCTGGAATGTCGAGCAATCATAGCAGTAAAAGACAGAAACAGCGGAGACAAAGTGAAGGTGATCGAATATGTAAATGCAAAGTTAACACATCTCAAAACGAATCGCTAAAAAGCGAAAAAGGCAAGACTTCGAGTTGAACTAGCAGAGATCGAAGCCGAGGTGAGGTATGCAAAGCTTTTATTAAAGCAGGAAAGGCAGCTTTGAGGCAAGGAGGTTGACAGGCCTGGTCGCTAGGGAAAATTTAGACAACCCAAGGAAAAAGGGATGGCAGACACGGGAAGGCAAAGGCAACCAGACCTTCATAGATAGGATAAACTCGTTAGGGAACAAGCCACAGGCTGGAATCGACAGGCCAAAGAAAACAGACCAGCGAAAAACGGATTGTCCTAATTGTCAGGTAGGTGGCTAGGTCAAACACGTGTGACCTGAGGAAGAGCACCGCGTGATGGCAGAGGCAAGGGCATTCAAACTTTCAAGGCCACTGGGAAGTGAAAGATAGGTTCGAGGTAAAGTGTGAAGAAAAGATGCTTTTGTCAGTAGCCGAATTAGGGATGGAAATCTCTATTATCAGGTTAGCAAAAGTCTCCATGCTGATAATAAAGGAAAAAGGGAACTCACAGCAGGTTGTCAGGAAAATCAGAGGGGTTAATGAGGTCAAGGCAAAACAAGCGGATGCGGTTCACAACGATCAAAAGGCGCATCCTAAGGAATGTGACATGGGAGATTTGGCCTTAGTTAACAAGACACTCGAAATAGAGAACCACTTTGTAGCAAGAGTAACAGCATACTACCAACCTGAAGATATGGAGTTGCCGAATAGGATTAAACAAGTAGGCGGCAGAAATCGAGTTTCGGCGATAGTTGACTATGGAGCAGAGATTTTGGTCATAAAAGAATCGTTGGTCCCTACCTAGGTGACAGAAAGGAAGGGAGAAATCCAACGGGTTGAACCTTTGGTCACCGGATTAATGTGATAATGATTGTGATAGAGTTAGGGGAGGAAGGCCTCACAAGATCACAGGGTATGTATGCCGTAACGGACAGGTTAAATCAGACCCCGGATGCCCCAATATCGGGGGAGAATTATCGAACGGTGTTAGACCAAAAGAGGGAGGTCCAAGGGAAAGGGAAAAATCATGTAAGAAACCTAAATGTAGATGGAAGTGATCTCTTTCAGTGGAAGGAACCGAAACCACTCTTGGAGGCAATGAATGGCAGAAACAACAACAGTGGGGGAAATGGAACAGGTCCACAGGATGCAAAGTCCAAGACAAGTTGCTCTTGACGGTCATGAGAGGATGCCAGGCACAAGAAAGACAGGCTGATTGTCAAAGACAGATGATGTCACCAAATGGAGAGTTGGTTTGGCAGACTCATTAAACAGGTTATAGTACCCCAAGAATGGAGGGTAGAGGTTTTATGGCTAGCCCATAAAACTCTATGCAGAGGACATTTAAGCTGTCAGAAAATGGTGGGTCGCATATGCAAGGTTTTCTGTTGACCGGGAATGGAGACAGATATCTGGAAATACTGCCAAAGTTGGCCCAGGTGCCAAGTAAGGGTGCCAGCTCACATTCTTGATAGGATTCTATTCACGATGCTCATGCGACTCATAGAATTTAGCATCGGAAATACGGTCTTGGTCAGAAAAACGTACCCAGTTAACAAATCTGACAATCAGTGGAAAGGACCTGCCATAGTGGAAACAAAAAACCATGAGAGTGGCTACCAAATAAGGTTAGGGGACAGTAGGACGAAGTCGGTCCACAGACCTCATAAAGCAAACTCTACCCTGCTGCTTTAAATGGCATCACAGTATTCAAGGGACTATGCCTTAATTATAAACCTGGTTTTACATGTCTTGCGTGTCCTAGACTTTTAAAGTCAAACCTGAGATAGCTACTTTCGAGCTCCATCCTTGCTCTCAGGCCCAACTCTCTCACCTGGCATAACTTTCGATTGTGCAGCCTGTTCTGCACTTATTAATATATTTTTTTTTATTTCAGCTCATATATGTAACGGGCAGAAGGGTCCCCTTTTCTACAAGTAGAGGGACTGATCTCAGTGCATCCACTTAGCTTATAGATCGAAAAGATCTATCACTTTTTCCATAAACTCCTTTATTTATTTAGGTTTCCTTTACTAGCTGTTAGTATTTGAAATACTTGTTTATGGGGCTTTATCCAATCGACTTGGTCAGCCCCTAGGCGGAAGTCCTCAGTAAGAGGACAGTCAAGTATATAGTGTCTCAAGTCACTGCGAGGACATTCACAGGAGCAGCTACTATCTCCTTGTCCAAACTTGGAGTTGAAGTGGGGAAACTTCCTGTGTTCAGTCAATATCTGTGTCAGTCTCCAATCACAACTCACTGGAGTATGGCCAACTTCAGGCATGAAGGCACAGGTTGACCTACCTACCGTACCGTGCTGGTCATTGATTTCTCAAAGACTCTTGCCAGTTTGTCATCGATTTTTGCAGTAGAGTACTTTTTATGTATGATTCGAGTCAAACTTAAAAATGTATGTATGTATGTTGTTGAGGGTTCCTTCATCTTCGTTACAAATGGGTCATTGGCTCCTGCCTTTGCCAGCTGATCGGCACACTCGTTGCTCGGGATACTGGTGTTGCCTCAGATCCACCTCAGGGCAACGTGTCGAAAAATCAACCTCAGGGTAACGTGTCGGAGAATCAACCTCAGGGCAACGTGTCAAAGAATCAACCTCAGAGTAACGTGTCGAAGAATCCACCTCAGGGCAACGAAGCACGAACGCTTCGCCCCTAGTACCTAACCTCTGATCTCCTGTACCAGTGGATTGTGATGGTACCTGTCACTCAAGGCCTGAAGTGACGACTGGCTGTCAGAGTAGACTGTGACTGACTGTAGACCTGGATGTAATAAGATCCACTGGGATGCCCCTTCCAGGGCCACCAGTACTGCCTGGAACACAGATGCCCCCTTGTCTAGGGGCCAGAGAAAACACATCAAAGTACGCAAAAGACTAATCTAAAATGCGTGTGGGCACTAAATGAATTGCGTTGTATCGAGTTCCGTAAGCATCTCTGTGCATTGATAAGTAATTTTTTTGGATGTTTCAGAAAAAGGGTTAATTTGACCGAGTTGGACAGCTTGGTTATGTAAGATTGCCACGGTGTTGTGCAGGGAATCAAACAGGCTCAAATGAGTTCAGTTTAATCTTTGGTCATGGAGGCGTTGGGATTAGAATCGTATGGAAGCACGATTACTTTTTTTGTTTGTTTGTATTTTATTTCAAACTAGTTGACGCTGCAGAAGTCGGTTGGAAAAACGACCAGTGGTTTTGAATCCGTGATCGCTGATCATTGGACCACCAAAGGACCTCTGACAGAGCTACGATGCGCTGATTGGTGAATCAATCCTACTGTCAATCCATATAAAAGGTTAATGTTCAGGCAGGAAAGTTAAGTTTGGTTTAAGCTTGGCTTAGGACTTTACGTTGGTCGAAGGAACTTGGTTAGGTTAAGTTTGTTATTGTTAAGCTCGAGGAAGGTTACATTCGTCTGGCTGTTTCTTCGACAAACGCCAAAAGGATCTTACATCTAGCTACGACTCAGGATTACTTTGTAAGTAATCTTTTCGACGAACCGGTTAAGTATTTGTGGACTATTTGAACTTTATTTTATTTTGTGTGTATGTGGAAACCTATATTGTAAACATTTTAAACGTCGTAATTTGTAAATTTTGTGAAACATCGTAAGATTTTAATATTACTGACATTATAAAATTTTTAAGTTGGACTCGAACCACTTCATTATATGATCTATCACGAGCAGGTTATCTGTGTTAAAAATTTAGCTACGCATCTGCATTACTTACTGATATTCGCTAGTTTTTAGAAATTTTGTCCTATCGTAAACAAGGTTTTTGGCATTTAAGTATGTTGTAATTATAAATATTTTTATTGTTTTGAGTTATAAATATTTACAAATAAACGTGGGTCTGACGTTGTAGTCAGAATAAGGCAGATGATGAAAGGAAATTTTCGTTACTAAACTTATATCCATATGAAAACTCGTAACTCTCCTATGATATAATTGCAGTGCTTGATAGGAATGTGGCAATTTATCTACTACTTTGGCTTCTGTGAGATGTCATATAGTTCTTTTAGTTTACAGTATGCGTGTAAAGAAACGATATTGATATAATTTTTAATAGAGTGTAACTAATCGTGATACTTTAAAATTTAACGACGGTTGATAATAAACATCTATTTTTCCGAATAGCAACAGTTTATGTATTTTATTTAGTGATAATGCCATGGACTGGTAAACAGACATTTCATGTAACTTTTCTTGCTGATCATCTTTTCTTGGGCAGATTAGCGTTTGCATGACTGAACTAATGTATTACTGCTTCTGAAATAATATAAACTAACGCAATATAAACTAGTATATAAATTTTTATCTGTCATTTGAATAAGTTTTAAATTCAATTAGTCATAGGACGCTCATTATGATTTTGAGAATAAAATGGAATGGATGACTGCATCCTGATGCCTAACACTATAGTTGTTCCTAAATTTAATAAACCACGGGAACGTAAATGTAATACTTCTGGTAAGATTTTTCAAATTTTGATTTAGGATTTCCTTCTTCTTCAAGAAAAAGATGACAAGACCTTCAAAGCTGTAGGAGAGAGCAAAATTTCAACCGAATATGGATGAATAATGTCACAGCTACATGGAAAAAAGTAAGACGTAATTAATATAATGTCAATTAGTATAAGTTTTGAAATGAATGCCGTAGCTGTGTTAGTATATATAATTATAATTCAAGCACAAATTAATTATCGTATTTATACAGACACTTGGCAAATCACAGAATTAAATTTTATTCAGTTGAAGTTAAGCTTGCCCAATGTCCATTACACAGTCACTTGACTTGACGAGTAGGCCACCTTGTGGTAACATTTTTCAAAAATTACTTTTCTACATAAAAATCATTTACATAAAAATCGTTTTCAAAAGTATTTTCAATTTTATAAGATATTGATCCAGTTTTCGTTTATTTTAGTACTTAGATTTATATTTATACATTTATTACTTTTGATAATTTCTGGGCTTTCTTTGAACTTCCTATGGTATGTTTCTTTTTCTTTGTGGAGTATTTGTACTTTATTTATTTTACAATCGTTAAGGGTGCAATGATCATGAAAGAATTTAATCTATTGTATTTTAGATCTGCTATATGTTTTTTTAATCTGGTTTTTAACTTCCTTTTAGTTTCTCCTATATTATATTTATTATCTCTACAAGTAGAATGAATTTTATGTACTATATGCTTAGTTTCAGTTGGTAGTTGTTGTTTTTTCTCAATGTTGAGCTGTTTAGGCATTGTATACTTTTATGGTATGACGGTGCTAACTTGAAGTTTATATTACTTATTTCATTATCAATTTGTTCGTGTAGTCCTTTGATGTATGGAAAGCTGATATACTTCATATCATTTGTTTTTTTTATTGTCTCGTGGCTTTTTAAGATTAATTATTTTAAGTTCCCATTTTTTTTAACAGTCTTTGTGGTAACCTGCCAGGAGAAATTTATTTTTTAATTCAGCTAAATCTTCAGATATCTGTATTTTTTGACCTGTTCTGTTTTTTGTTATTTTAAAATATTCCATTTTAAATACATTATATTTGACATGAAGTGGTACGTTTGACTGATATCTTATTGTTATCTTACTCAAACCTGGNAAATACCAAGATTATATAATTATACTGATTTTAAAGTAGATGTATTAGCAGTTATTAAATATTCCTATGTTGAATAACTGGTCATCGCTTGAGTAATTTTTTAAAATTATGTTTTAATGTGTCACCAGATGTTTAGCAGCTAATAGAAAAACACGGATATAACAATTAAATAGCAAACTATGTAAAATTATTCATAAAACTGCATTTGAATTCCTACTATTAAAAAAGCTGTAATTTTGCAAGAAATCGAAAACTGCACAAACTGTCCGTTCCTCGAAAAGTTTTATTTTCCATATGTCCATTTTATGAGGAACTTTGTCATAACATTAAAATTATGAGTGTCTTACTGGTTTTTACTGGCTTTATTACTACAACATTGTTCATTATATAGAATAGAGAGAATTTAATGCCAACGAAACCCGCACTGTATCTGCCTATATATGTCTCTTTACTCTTGATGTCATATGCAAATGTTATCGTTTAAAGTAAATCAGTAACAGAGAGCATTGAACGATTATATTTGTTTTTGATGTCTTTTTATTAAAAGAATACAGCATAACAACCAGAGATGAAAAAAATCGCGTTGTTTAAAATAAGCACATCAGATAATTTTGTGACAATGCCGAAAGGCCCTCCTATACTTCGGCACCATAGGACCGAAGGGTCGACATCGCATCAGCGAAGATCGCAATGACAAATTTCGTCAGGACTGACACTACTGTGTCTTTCCGGACAGACACAGAAACCGTTATGTTCTCGCGCAAACGATCGCGTATGTGAGCGAACGGTTTGGGATGGAGTGAGAGACAGCACACTGGAAGTGACTCACGGAAAGACTAGGTCAACGAAACAACGTTTATTTCTAAAGATATAAAACATTAGATTACAATACGAGAGTACACGATAGGGATTAAAATAAGTAAACTTGGGTGAACTTAATCTAATGTCTACGATATTCAGAGAGAGAGAAAGAGTTTTAGTGGTTCCCGCGTTGCTAAATACGTAGAGAAGCGAATGACCATGGAGGTTCACGAATGTCCACGTTCTTCTTCTTGTAGTGAAAGGTTATCCAAAATTTCGGCACAAAATTATCTAATGTCCAGGGGAGATATTCAATTTTGCAGTGACACCGTTACTTATTGGGAAAAAATCCGCAATGGCACTTCTCGAAGACTGGACGAGGACTCCTTATTTCGGCCGTCGATTCGATATCCATCTTTTCTCGCTCGACCTAAAGATCAAAAAATCACATGAAATCACAAAAGTGCGTCGTTTTCATCGTCGGAAACGTGAAATTGGAGATTTTCTCAGGTAGCTGAGGACAGCAATTGGTGAGCATGTATGACGTCGTTGTTGATTAAAATTGGGTCGTTAAAGTTAAATTAAAGTGAGTTATAGTTTGATTCTTACAATTTGAGTTGAATTAAAGCTGTTCCAAGTATAAAGGAAAAACACAGAATATAAAAGTGTCATTATTGGTCTATTTATTTTAAATTGGCAATGTGTCGAATAATGCTAATTACATGCAAGGCTCACAAGTTCCTAGCTTATGTAATTTTACTGATGTAAAGAAACCTAAAGAAGAAGATGACGTCTGTGGAAATCCAGATGTTTTTAGCTTATAGACTAGACACGCATTTCAAACATATCTACTAAATTTTTGTGACTTAAAAATTAAAAAGAAAACGAATGATTTAAGAATTTTCAAAAATTTTGGAAAAACCAATGTTAAAAAATGTTGTATTTGCATCTCACGGATTCAAGGCATGAACTGCGGGATAATACGAAAAAAGACAATGTATTTTTTATCGGACAATGCTGGATTATCGCCTATATTTTACAAACAGGACAGATTACAAAACTTCCTGTATACAAACAATCGTCATAGCATAGTGTACCTTTATTATAATTTCCCCTTACTAATTTTAGGATTTATAANTAATCTTCTTATCGTAATGTCCAAATAGTTAATTTTTTTTTGGTTAAATCTTCTATTTTTGTTTAAAATTTTATCTTTTCTTGTATATTATTAACTTGTTTGTCGATTTTTTCTATCTTTATTTTAGTTTCATTGTATATTATTAAAATATCATCCACATATCTTTTATAAAATTTACGCCTGTTATATTGCTATAACTTGTATAACTATAACACTATATAACTTGGAAAAATTTCTAAAGCAACAACTTAAGCAATACCAAAACTCCAAATTTGCTATTAGAAACAAAGATGAACTCCTAGACAAACTAAATCAAATCAGCATGGAAGAAAACTTTAAGATAGCAAGTCTCGACATTATAGATATTTAACCATTAATAACGTGGGATCTAACAGAGAATAAATTAAATAATCTTAAGGTTAAAAATAAAATAATAAGTTTAATAGAATTTGCATACAGAAGTAATTATGTTGAGGCTGATGATGATTTTTATACACAGACAAGTGGAATAAGCATGGGATCAGTCATAAGACCAAAATTAGCAGAATTAATAATGATAGACATAGATAACAAAATTAGCAATATAACAGGCGTAAAATTTTATAAAAGATATGTGGATGATATTTTAATAATATACAAGAAGAGATAAAATTTAAAACAGATATAGAAGATTTAACCAGAAAAGAAATTAACTATTTGGACATTACGATAAGAAGATTAAAACAGAGCTTAGAACTGTGTTGCCACAATGAAATTTCAAAATGTACTGAAGCGCATTCAAAAAAATATACTATTTTCCTTTAAAATGTACTAGTTTTATGAATACTTTGTTTACGTGCCTATATATATAGGCACGTAATTTATATAGTTTATTGTCAAATAATTTAATTTTAAATCTTATTTTTGGAATTTTTTGAAAGCTATTTAAAATTTAAAATATACAGTATCTACACATCTATTATTTATTATAAAATGAGCATTACATTGACAACATTTATTAATAATACTATTGAATTTCATCTTACAAGGAGAGCCTACGGCTTTGGAAAAACGGATTTTGATGATCTTTGGTGTAGAGGTAGTACACCATGTGAGTGTACTACCTGTAAAATACTAAAGTGCAATACTCAAATATAATCGAGAAAATCGAACTTAAAGTTTTGTTAGCACTTTATATATAAATTATTAACGTGAAGAACTTGCTTCTCTTGACGACATTTTTTGATTATAAAATAATTTTTCAAAATAAGTTTTACTACACAAATACGTCTATTCGTGTCGAAATTTAGAAACGAACTGTTAAAGAGTGAGTGAAAAAGAACTCCGATAGAAAAAACGCTCCTAGTGAGAATTAGATCGGTCACCGTTAGTGATAACAATTAGATGGGAAAGTTGACACATAGGTGTCAAGAATGCGCTGTTAGTGTCAACAAAAGTATAAAAATATTAGACTTGGAATAGTAGAAATTAAATTAAAATAAATAAATAATAAGAAATAAATGAATGAGTAAATAAATAAATACATTATAAGTATTTATGAATTAAAAAAAAAATT